ATTATGGCAATCCACTACAAGCAGCTACAGAAAAAGGAAACAAATCGCTTGTGCAGCTTCTCCTCGATCACAAGGCAATTGTCAATGCTGAAGGTGGCCGTTTTGGCAATGCACTACAAGCAGCTACAGCAAAAGAAAACGAATCGCTTGTGCAGCTTTTCCTCGACCATGAGGCAGATGTGAATGCGAAGGGTGGCCATTATGGCAATGCACTACAAGCAGCTGCATTCAAAGGAAACGAATCGATTGTGGAACTTCTCCTCGCGTGTGAGGCAGATGTGAATGCTAAAGGTGGCTCGTATGGCCATGCACTTCAAGCAGCAGCAGTACAGGGAAACGAATCGGTTGTACGGCTTCTCCTCGATCGTGGGGCAAATGTGCACGCTCGGGGCGGCCATTCTGGCAATGCACTGCAAGCAGCTGCACGGATAGGAAACGAAGTGGTTGTGCGGCTTTTCCTGGAGCGTGGGGCAGATGTGAACGCTCAGGGTGGCCGTTTTGGCAATGCACTACAAGCAGCAGCGGCAAAAGGTAACGAATCGCTTGTGCAGCTTTTCCTCGACCGTGGGGCAGATGCGAATGCTCAGGGTGGTGAGTATGGCACTGCACTACAAGCAGCGAAAGCATTACGTCATGAATCGATTGTGCAGCTTCTCCTCACACACGAGGCAGTTTCTAATGCAGCGACTTCGGCAGATAATACAAGTAGCACAACCGGCTAGGATACTTTCGATTGTCCAATTTGTGGAATATTCTATTTCTAAAGGCGCCACCGATTCCCCAAGTTTCCCCTTTCCTATCCCATATTCACATACTCCTCCTCTTGCTTATTTTTCACTCCACGGCTACAAGAAGGCTCAACTCCTGCCCCCGCGTGCCGAATTCTCGGTAGTTTTCCGCCCTACCTCCGTACTGTACTACGCACCCTAGGCAAACAACTACTCATTTCCCCGATCCCATCTTTTCTTCTGCTACCGAATACCCTAGAAGACTTCCGCCACTGTTTTCAAAATTTTGAATTACCTCCTGCAGAGTCCACTTCAACATACACACACACACGGATATGTGACCCGCACTGCGCATCCGAGCTCGCCAAACCCCCTATTACTCGATCTTCTCTATCCCGCACCCAGCCCGATCCCCAAACAAATTGTCTTGTTCCACGTTACTAAGGTCGTCGGCGCCCCCTCAGTCTCCTACTTTAATACTGGTTGACTCTTGTTTGACCCAATCTCATTTTTATTCTTATTATTATTCTTATTTCCTGCTTCGGTGATAAAAATTGTTGGAAATCGCCAGGCGTTGCTTGGCATGCTCACACGATGGTTTGTTTGTTTATTCGCATAGTCTCCGGGAGCCCGTTTTTGGTTTTGGGCGCGCTATGGCTTCGGGAGCACTTTGGCTTCCACCCGCAGTTTAGCTTTTCGGGAAAACACTTCGATCACGGGAATGTGCGGGAGTCCTGGAGCAGTGCACCTGCCGGAAGGAAAGCGAAAAAGCTGGGAGGGAAATGGAAAGGCCATAAGGAGGGCCAGAGGCTATGGATAGCTGAAGTTTGTCCTTTCTTTGTTAGCTGTTCTTGTTTGCAAGTTTGTGGGAGACGTCCCTGGAAGGATAGGGGTTAGGACTTTGTAATTTTTATAGTTGATATATACTCCTGTCTTTATCGTTAGTTGGTTAGAGAGAACGCGCGATAGTGTGAGCCTAAGGTTGACAAAGTGATGAATTTTCTCCCCTATGTGAGTTGTGCGATCCTTTCACCTTACGGTAGTGATCTTGGCGTTTCGTTTCACAGCATGTCACTCGTACGGCTAGTTTCGTCGCACCATTGCTTCGTACAGCGTTTCGTTTCGCTACGCGTTCGTCGTTCGTTCGTTCGTTTTCGATATCGCGATAGTCTCCGCCGATCCCGCGTCTAAAAAAAAATAGATATATCTCCGATTGTATCCTGTGGGGCTTTGGAGTCGCCATCCCATTTTCATATGTTTCCTTACCGACCCATTTCCTTCTTTTTTCTAAGTAGAGTGAGGCCTTGGTTACAGGTTCGGGGAGCGGCAAGAGCATACCGCTGCAGCGCACGGCCGTAGAACTCGGTGGGGAGAGCGCGCGGCCGTAGAATTCGGCGGGGAGAGCCCACCGTGGGAAGGCGCCGGCAGGAGGGCGTACGGCGGGGGAGCACGGCGGAAGGAAGCGCAGCGGGGGGAGCACGACGGAAAGGCGCATGGCGGGGGAGTGCAGCGGAAAGGAAAAAAGGAGCGCGGCGGAAGGGCGCAAAGTAGGGGAGCGCAAGTTTGTCTTTTTTTTGTTTGCTCTCCTTGTTTGCTCATGTGTGGGAGACGTGCCTAGGGGGTGGGGGCCAAAGAACTTGGTTTGCGGTTTGGGCTGTATCACGGTTGCGATTTATATTAAATTTTCTGTTTTTTCCGTCAGTGAATTTTAGTTAGTTGCGTGCGGGATAGTTAGGGTGAGGGTGTGTGAGAGGGGGAAAAGAGAAGTGAAGAGTTTTCCCGGCCCCTACTTGTGCGATTGGTTTAGTAAGCGCTTGGGGTTGTTTCGTTTCACGACCTATTACGCGCTTACCTTTGATTGGCTCGTTGCCACGGACCCCTCTTCGTTCGCCGTTGTCTTCGCCGCTCGTTCAAAAATATATGCTCCCAGTACCTATCAAGCATAGGCTTCAATGGTAGGTAGTTGGAAGTAAATTATAACCCTTGGTTGAAGACATGGGACACTAACCACGACGGGTATTTCGTTAGGAAACTCTGCCCGCATCATACCCATGACCCTTAGAGTTGGTTTCGTCACTCCCGGTTTCCACCTAGGTCCACTGTGCTAGTGATGAAAGATTTGCGTTCAATTCGTGCATCCTATTGTAACCGCGGTCGGGAAGTCCCCCACAGCCAGATTCATTATCCTGTAAATCTAGAAGTGGGATTTAAGCTGGTAGCATGGAGGGCGGACTCAAATTAGCACCACAGGAATCAGAGGGGAAGCTTTAAAAGGCTGTATTGGATCAACTGATGAGCTCGAGAACTGATCCTCCGTTATCCATTTATATTCTGGTTTTGCCCCACCAGGGATCGAACTAGCAGTGGCGAAGCTGAGAGAAAGCGGGATTTCTGGAACATCGGGCAGAGGAAGGCCCGTCGTAGACCCATTATAGAATATTCAGCTTTCGAAAAGCAGGGAGTGATTGACGGTAGTCCTAGGTAGTTGGTGACCTCCGATAAC